TCATGAGGCCATTTGCCCTTGCATGCAAATAAGTTTTATGAATTTAATTGATTTAATGTAATATTATTTATAAAGGAAAATCAATTGAAACAAAAAACCAAAATAACGAAAAACTAAAAGCCGTCGGCTGCCGGCAGAATGGCCGAGTGGTCTAAGGCGCTGCGTTTAGGCCGCAGTCCGCAAGGGCGTGGGTTCGAACCCCACTTCTGTCATTTTTTTATTTTTTATGCATTGCGTTTTTTTTAATAAATATTATTATATAAATAATAATAATAATGGGGTGATGATACGCTCACAGACAGGCGATTGACTTTCCTGCTGTTTACAAGCAAGCCGACGAAACCAGGAAAGCTGAATCGGGGTTTCATATCGCTGGCGAAATCTGCACGCTTACATCATTCTTGTTTAGTTTGTATCGTTAGTTCGTTACTATTATTTCAAAATTATTATTATTTTTATTATTTCTCAATTATTATTTTTATTTCGTCTGTAATCTTTCGTTATTTTCTCGTATACCCCAGCAGAGCGAAACCCGGAAACTTGTTGACGTCGTTTATGAACACCACTGGACCGCAACTCTTCTGCTAGTTTATCGATTAAATTGCGCGAATTTTTTGTAAAAATAATAAAATAAAAGAATTAAAGCAATGTGACTTGAATTTCATCATAATTTCCGTTTTATTTTCCTAATTTCGTCGTAGTTTCATTCCTTCTCCCCCCAAGCTGAACGAAACCTGAACTCATTTGAATAACGTCAACCGGCTGAGTGCATACACCCCAAATCCAGGAGCAGTAAGCAGATGTAGAACCCGTAGAAAAAAAGAAGAAAGCGAGCAAATAAGCCCATACACGCACGAGTAAACCCAGTACAGAGATACACAAATAAAATAAACAAACAAATGCACCAAATAAACCTCCATATGAATTCAAAAAGAAACAAAAGAAACACAGTATATCAACCCCGTATACTGAAACACAAAACGACGGCAGAATGGCCGAGTGGTCTAAG